GGACCGCAAACCACGCAAGGCCACAAAAAAAAAAACCCTCAAAATGAAGGAATTTTCTAAATTTTTACGTTTTTTGGTCCTGAGAGGTAGGCATGAGGTGCTTAACAGTCCATTCCTATTCTTTGTTCTTTTTTCGTAGTGCGGGTACCGAACCGTGTGAAAGGGTGCCCATCTGAGTTCCAGAGGCCCCAAGAGACATCACTATTGATAGGGTTTTTGAAAAAAAACCACAAATTTGGGTGCCCCTGGGAGATAGGCAAATTGCACCCGGCATCCCAATTCTGTTCATGGGGCTTGCCTTGTGGGGGGGGCACCCCGCCATGCTGACAGGGTGCACTTGGAGTGGCTGAAGCGGCCTACAAACTGAAACTATTGCCAAATTTTGGGGCCCAAATTTAGTCATTTTTTGCCCCTGAAAGTTAGGCAAACCAAAAAGAGGGTTGGGCATATTTGTTTTCGTAATAAGCATTTAAAAACGAACAAATCCCCGTTTCGTTTTTGAAAATCGGTCAAAAAATGACCGAGTTACGATTTTTTCCTATTAATAGCACTGTTAAAAACTTTGAGGGCTCTGCGGAGGTCCTAAAAATCATTTTTTCGAAAAAGGAAAAAACACGTATTTCATATTTTTCGATGTAGAATCCAAATCCGGGTGGCGTTGGACGATCCGAGCAACTTCATATTTTTTTGGACCACCCTACCCGGGGGGGGGGGGGGGGGGCGCTTGTGGGTCGGGGCCGTCCGATGAATTTCCCGCTCGGGCCGTTTGGGTCCCAGTCCGCCCCTGTCACGGAGAGCTCCAGGGTCACGGAGAGCGCCCTGTCGGACTCCGGAGTGCACTTCCTCCCCGACGAGACCCTCATGTTCATCTTCAGCCTGCTGTCCGACGCCGCCACGCTGCTCGACGTGCTGCCGCTGGTGTGCAAGCGCTGGTGCCGCGTGGCCCGCGACCCGGCCTCCTGGGCCGGGGTGCAACTGTGCGTCTCCGACAACTACGTCAAGAGAATGGACGAGGCGCGCCTCTTGCTGCACGCGCCGGCCGCCAGGTCCTTGACGGTCCAGCCGTTCGACGTGTACGTCGTGCACCCTCCCTGCGGGATGCTGCGCTCCGCCTTTCGCCGCAGCCGCGTCGTGGTGAACCACTCCATCAACATCCTGCAGAAGGGCTGGGAGATGACCACACGCGAGCCGACGGGCGGTCGGAAGGCTGCCGCCTCGGCCGCCGCCATGGCGCGGTTCCTGGCGCGGCAGTCGAGCTTGCGCGAGCTGCGGCTGTTCCTGGGCCGCGGCGACGAGGCCGCCATCCTGCCCGTGGTCGCCACGCTGCGCCGCCTGCGGTGCCTGGCGCTGGTCACGGCGCCGGGCGTGCGGTACGACGGCCAGCTCGCCGGCCGGCTGCCGGAGCTCCACGATGTGGAGGTTCGCGCGCAGGTCCCCCGGGACTACCGGGACCCGCACCCTCCCAGCGGCCTCCTCGGCGACTTGGTGCGCGGCGCCACGGCGCTGCGCTCGCTCTCCGCCGACATGCCTCTGGGCGCCGACCGGGACGCGTGCGCCGCGCTGCGCGACTTGGAGTACGTGTGGCTCAACGTGTACCAGGACCTCGACGGCGGCCTGCCCGCCATGAACGACGCCGCGGTCCGCGCCGTGCGCGACGCCTTCGAGTTGGTGCACTTGGTGGGCAGACCTGAGTTGCTGTCCGGCGTGGTCGCAGTGAGTAGCGACGAGCACGCCAGGTACCCGGTGAGGGTTCAAAACCGGTGCAACGCAGTGATGGCCGAGTTCGCCCTCAAGATGCCGGAAGCGTTCCTGGAGTTGTTCATTGACGGCCCGACTTGCCTTATTTGTGACGATCTCGAACCCTGGGACTGTCCAGGGCGGAAGTGGCCAAAGTCCATCGTGGACGAAGAGTGGGACACGACGTCAGAGTCTGAGACGGAGATAGACTCAGAGTCAGACTCGGAATACTGAGGGAGGGGAAGCCGTCACCCGTTGTTTGTTATTCTCATGTCAAGGTTAGCACACTTGGTATCCGCACCGGGGAGGATTTACTAGAGTAACTCCACCCCAAGGTGGACCGAAATCTGGGATTGGGTCACGGATTCGGTTCAAACTTTGTGGGTTCAATAGGTACCACTAGGACCTATCAGCCCTAAAAGGAAAGTTGGCTAGCTCAAATAGAACCTGAGATATTTGCATTTTTCTAAATTTGACTAATTTAGCGGAAAAATGTCGCTTTCTGATTTTCTTATGGTAAAAGTTGTTTGCTTAGTTCTGGCTTATGTTTCTTCTTTCTAGTCATAAAAAAAGAAGAAAAATGGTGGTAGGCCAAGTTTTGTACGTTGCTTGGTTTGGCCTACTCGAGCAATTTTGTCGAATTCATCGAAACTCTCGTACCCAAAATACTCCACCTTGGATTTGACCCTGGTAAGTCTCATTTCACTTCTTTTACTCTAATTAACAATTGCTATATAGTCCCTAGCACCAACAATTCCATTTAAGCCAGAAAATCAAAAACACATTTTTCAATTTTCTACTTTGACCTAATTTTGTCGCTTTTGTCAAGGTTGGGGCTTCTACATGAGCTTGGGTGATAGGAAAGATCCTCCCTGCCCTCAATTTAGATAGTATCAACACAAACAAAGAAACCCAAACTCAAAGTGCACTAAAATTTTATAAGGAAATTGTTTCGAGCAAATTTTACAAGCTTACGAGGGGTGTGAGGAATTTAAATCGGAGGAAAATGTGATGCTTCAGCCAAAAGTGGATTTGTGGTTCATTAGTTACCTTTCTCTAGTAGGATTGGTGCTCTTTTAACCATGAGAATGTTCCTCCTTGTTAATCAGTGATAAAACCCCCATTCGGTATGGGGCTGTTGGACTTACGATTTCAACGCATTAACAAAGTAATGACCCATTTATTTTGGTTGTTCGCAGCGTGTAAGCTGAACCCCTTGGTCTTAAGTCATCCTGTTGGTCTCAAAAATTAACAAACCAAATGGAACCAGGCTGAGTAATAGAGACTAAGCGGTTGAACTTATACGTTGCAAACAACCTAAATAAATGGGTCATTACTTTGTTAATGCGTTGAAATCGTAAGTCCAACAACCCTATACCGAGTGAGGGTTTTATCACTGATTATCAAGGAGGAACATTCTCATGGTTAAAAGAGCACCAATCCTACCAGAGAAAGCTAACTAATGAACCACAAATCCACTTTTGGCTGAAGCATCACATTTTCCTCCGATTTAAATTCCTCACACCCCTCGTAAGCTTGTAAAATTTGCTCGAAACAATTTCCTTATAAAATTTTAGTGCACTTTGAGTTTGGGTTTCTTTGTTTGTGTTGATACTATCTAAATTGAGGGCAGGGAGGATCTTTCCTATCACCCAAGCTCATGTAGAAGCCCCAACCTTGACAAAAGCGACAAAATTAGGTCAAAGTAGAAAATTGAAAAATGTGTTTTTGATTTTCTGGCTTAAATGGAATTGTTGGTGCTAGGGACTATATAGCAATTGTTAATTAGAGTAAAAGAAGTGAAATGAGACTTACCAGGGTCAAATCCAAGGTGGAGTATTTTGGGTACGAGAGTTTCGATGAATTCGACAAAATTGCTCGAGTAGGCCAAACCAAGCAACGTACAAAACTTGGCCTACCACCATTTTTCTTCTTTTTTTATGACTAGAAAGAAGAAACATAAGCCAGAACTAAGCAAACAACTTTTACCATAAGAAAATCAGAAAGCGACATTTTTCCGCTAAATTAGTCAAATTTAGAAAAATGCAAATATCTCAGGTTCTATTTGAGCTAGCCAACTTTCCTTTTAGGGCTGATAGGTCCTAGTGGTACCTATTGAACCCACAAAGTTTGAACCGAATCCGTGACCCAATCCCAGATTTCGGTCCACCTTGGGGTGGAGTTACTCACTATTCCTTCAGAAATTGAAACAACGTTCCGTTTTACTTTTCAGTTATTGAGTTGGAGATTTTTTTAAAAACCATGAGTTGTTTGAATGTCATTTTCCGGAAATGAAGTCTATCAGGTTCTAGGAACATTGAATTAAGAAGAGGGTATGTGAAGCCTTTCATATTGCTATTAAATCCTTTGACGTTGTGTGATAACTAATATGTATTCACTGACATGAAATACTTGTAATAAACAAACCACAGGATAATGAGTGCGTACTGTTTCTTTAGAATAATACCTGCTTTCAGCTAACCATCTTTCAGAGACGTTCTGGAAAAACTGTTACGAAGTCAGATCAAAAACTAACATGGATTTTCATTCAAATTTATTATCTATGAAATGTGGTAGTATAAAATAATTGCACCACAGTAAATAAAACTACCTGCACAAAAGTAAATAAAACTACGAAGACTTTCCGACTGAGGACATTAACAGTGGACTGCACGGTAAATTCACACATCATCATCAGATTAAGAAAAAAACAACAGCCAAGACAAAGTCAAGACATGAATAATACAAAACGAGTTTTCACCCAACACAAGGAAAAGAAAAAGAACTAGAAAGTATATCGTAGAGATTTTGATACTGTTTTGAGAAAACTGATAGGATGAAACAATTGTCGGAACGCAGCGACATGAAATCGGTTTCACCAAAACACTCACAAATTCTGGAAGTCCTCGCTGTTGCACTCATTGCAAATCACAGCGACCTCCAAGTTGCGCTGCACGAACATGTTCCAGAGTGCTTCCAGCTGCGCCCGACAGGTGGTCTTGTCGTGGCGACACAGCGCGCCGTAGCCCGTCTGCCGCAGCAACACCATCCTCTTCAGCTTCTTGAAGCGGCAGTCGCGCACCTCCTGGGCCAGGTCGGGGCAGCCGTAGGGCTCCGTGGAGGCCGCCACCAGCTGCAGCTCCTCTAGTGTGTCGGCGTGCGTGCGCGCCAGGGCCAGGGCAGTGGACAGCGGGTGCACGCCGCAGCGCAGCCACTGCAGGCCGGAGGCGGGCGTCGCGGAGGTCAGCTCCGGCAGCGGGGCGTCCAACTTGCAGTGCAGCTCCAGGCTGCGCAGCGACGCCCTCTTGTTCACCAGCTCCAGGTGCTCTCCAGTCAAGCCGGTGATGCTCAGGGCGCGCAGGTGCGGCATGCCTGCGACCACCTCCAGGTGGCCTTTCAGAGGGGAGGCCATCTGCGGCCCTCCAGCTGGGGCGTCACTTGCTCCAGCACCTTCTGGCACCAGGGCGGGAACGCGGAGAAGGGAAGGCCCACCAGGAAGCGCACCTGCGAAGTTGAAACGGCATGAGATACAATCGTGTTGGCAGTACACAGTGCACTGTGAAAATTTCACTGCGAGAAAAAACTACGGAGAATCCTGTCAATTTTAATAGCGTCGCTCCGTGCCCAAAACCACAGAGGTCTCCGTGGTTTTGGGTCCGTAATTTTTTGCAATGTTGTTGTCCCGACAAAATCGTGGATGGCGTTTTTGTCTCTTGAAACCCAACGACAATTTCATCACAAATTGACTAAGTTTACTTTACGGAGCTCCTTTACCGATTGCATGGGCAACCATGACAATGAAAAATTTCAAATAGCTATTGGAAGACAGCCAATTGTCAAGGCAGTTTTTTAAAAAGCGTCAGCAAATTTGTTCAATGGTTTTTTTTTATTTTATCGTTCATTTTCGTGTAAGCTTTTTGCACCCTTTTAAAAGAAAGTTAAATAGTTTTTTAACTGGATTTCGGAAATTTAATAACAAATTCAGAAATATCTACTAGAGTTCACTACGGATTTTCTTATTAGTTCGTCACAAACTTGTGAAAATGCGGTGGACAAGCTTCTCAATTTCTTTGATTGTGATAAGAGCGAACTGATTTGGGTGCAGGTTGGATGATTATCCTGACATGAAAAGTTCAGAGACCATTGGAGCCTCGCATCAAGTCTCAACAACAAATTTTAAACCTTCATTACCTGGGCAAGACTGCCGTTTGATAACAAATCCCACATGCTTTGGAGATTTGATCTGGAGATGGACGTTCCTACATCCAGGAAGTGTTCCCCTTCTTGAGCTCCGATTGGCGACTTCTGCAACAGATACGAATTGAAGTCGGTCACCAGAACTGGTAACAGGAAGGGTAACCAACTTTACCCTCCCTTTCCAAGACCGCAATACACTTCAGCGCAACAGCAGACTACAGGGAGCTATCTCAACAAGGGTTAACCCCTCGCGATTTAGATGTGTAAGTTCCTATCGAAATTTCGCTCCTAGCGGTGCTACTTTAACACTACAGTGCAAACTCATCAAATCACACTTGACAGAGCAAAAACCACTTGTTTGCAGCTTAAGTTCAAAAATGGACCAAAAAGTGCTAAGTCGTTGAGTGAGTGCACTAAAAGGTGCCAAAATGTTTCACCCGAAGTAAGTGCTAATTTTCTTGCCCCTTTTTAGTCCGCATATAGCGAATACGATATAACCCATCCTCTACCCGGATTGGGGAAGTGGCAAACCTGTTTTGGGTATGGAAAACGAGAGCAGGAAACAAGCTCAACCCACACTACAGTCAGACGCCGCTATTTGGTCGCTCTCAAGTGCGAGAAAAACTGAAGGTTGTGACTGATGCGATAATTCGGGTAAGTGGATTAAGGGTTCAACCCGAAAATTCCTCAGCAATCGGCGTCAGAAGTCTTAAAATGTGGGATATTCGACCTACATTGAGTTGAGTTCGGTGCATGTCTGATGTCTCTGAAAAATAGCTTATCGCCCGACCTGTTCAGAAGAGCAATGAGCGTACTCACCATAGGAGCGGGCGACATCGGACGGATGGACATATTTCCCGGACCAACGCAGCAAGTCCCGCTCACTAAGCCGCGAGGGCCGTCCCACTCGACAACTTTCGTCTCCATCCTGCTGTCGGTGACCGTGCCGGGCCCCTCAGGACGGTGGGTCCAGCGCCAGTCCTTGCCGGGTCTCACCCTGGAGCCCACCTCCATCCTGGCAGAGAAGTCCTGCGGGGTCTCCAACTCATTCGAACGTTCCTCCCAGACTGTAACCCAGAGAGGGGCAGTATCATGCAATGGAATGCACTAAAAGCGTGGTGTTACCCTCTGTTTTAAAGCGTAATCAATTTACGCTTGAAATCAAGCGTAGCAGGCTCTTCTGCCGAGAGTCCCCCTGAAGGCGTTTCTAGAGTATGCTTTATTTCAAGCGTAACGTCCTGAAGCGTTACTTTAGATTTTATGGTAAATCAACAAGCGCCAAAGCGTTGGTGTCACGGATTGGAGCCGGTTGAATAGTTAAAGAGTAGAGCCAGTAAACACGCGAGCATCTTTGTTAAAATTACGATTATGTGTGCAAATTTTGATGAATGTTGGTCGAACCGTCTGCTTTACACTGCTTTTGGCACTTCTGCAGTTTTACTGAGAGCAAAATCAACTAAGACGGACCACTTCTTCCGGTGACCCTCTCCGATTTGCCTGATTTTTTGTAGGCTTAATAACTACCTAAAGGAGAGTCTAAAGCCAAAATATTAGGTCCGACAAAAATTTATTGACCGAGATATGGCCAACTTAAGTTTAACTTTTGGAGGAAAAACACAAATTTGGGTATTTTGGACTAATTTTACACTTTTCATGGTAGAGGGCTAAAATTTGGTCACCTTATGTAAAATTGACCAAGGAACAAGAATATGACCTCAGATTTGACCTCCGACGAATACCTGCAGAGTAAACCCCCCAAAACACCTTCAAAACACCTAAGAAAACAGTTTTTTCTTGGGGTTTCTGGGAAAAATATGTGGACAAAAACTTCTGATGATCTTATCTTGTAGAAAATGACGCGATGAATCGAATGAGACCACGCGCAGATTTTTATGTCAAACCGTTTAGGAGATATAGCTGATCAAAGTATGCAAATTTTGCCATTTATTCTTTAAAAAATGGAGGTTTTGAGCATAGTTTGACGTTATCTGCCTTCTTGGTGTGTGTGGGTGATCCTATCTTGTAGAAAAAGACGCGCTGAATCGATTGAGACCACGCACAGAGCTGTATCTCAAACCGTTTAGGAGATATAGTGGTTTAAAGTATGGGCACGGGAGAGCTCCTGTAAACACCCGACAAGGCAGGCCCGCCAAACACGCCTGCCTTGTCGGGTGTTTACAGGAGCTCTCCCGTGCCCATACTTTAAACCACTATATCTCCTAAACGGTTTGAGATACAACTCTGTGCGTGGTCTCAATCGATTCAGCGCGTCTTTTTCTACAAGATAGGATCACCCACACACACCAAGAAGGCAGATAACGTCAAACTATGCTCAAAACCTCCATTTTTTAAAGAATAAATGGCAAAATTTGCATACTTTGATCAGCTATATCTCCTAAACGGTTTGACATAAAAATCTGCGCGTGGTCTCATTCGATTCATCGCGTCATTTTCTACAAGATAAGATCATCAGAAGTTTTTGTCCACATATTTTTCCCAGAAACCCCAAGAAAAAACTGTTTTTTTAGGTGTTTTGAAGGTGTTTTGGGGGGTTTACTCTGCAGGTATTCGTCGGAGGTCAAATCTGAGGTCATATTCTTGTTCCTTGGTCAATTTTACATAAGGTGACCAAATTTTAGCCCTCTACCATGAAAAGTGTAAAATTAGTCCAAAATACCCAAATTTGTGTTTTTCCTCCAAAAGTTAAACTTAAGTTGGCCATATCTCGGTCAATAAATTTTTGTCGGACCTAATATTTTGGCTTTAGACTCTCCTTTAGGTAGTTATTAAGCCTACAAAAAATCAGGCAAATCGGAGAGGGTCACCGGAAGAAGTGGTCCGTCTTAGTTGATTTTGCTCTGACAAAGTACTGTGTTTATAAACCCTGAAACTGACTTCTCAACCACCCTTCTTTAAGCCACTCCCCCTGCCCTCCGAAACGGCAACTGGCACACACTAAACGTTTTTAAACCCATTTAGTACTAAATGTTTTTGAACACATTTAGTACTGTGCACACAAACTTTTAGTACCAACTTGTACCCGATTTTGCACAAAAATTAAGAAATGTGTACTGTTCTTCGTGCAGAAATTATATGCAAAGTTGATCCAGGAAGCGGAAGAAGGGAATAATTTAACTTATCTCCAAATTTAGTTTTAATCTTACAAATTGTGCCTCAGGATGGTTTGCATCATTACACCAAATTGTTTGACCCAATTCCTAACAGTTAGGAAGAAAATCCTCATAAAAAATGGATTAAACTGAACTTGACCCCTTTTACGGTCTAAATGTTATCAGAAAATGGAGGTAACTCAACTGAAGTACACATAACTCCATCGCACAAAATGGCAAAAGGAGATAACTCAACTTGTGTCTTTATGAATCTTACGTGAAAAGAATCTACTCAACTTCACTCCCCATCACTAGTTGGAAAAAAGAGGTAACTCCAAAAATGTACCACAGAAATACAGACTCTAGGCAGACCACAGCTCCACTTGAACTGTCTCCAAGTTCCCCCTTGTTTGGGGGAACCAAATTAATATGGTTCCGGAGTCCATTCCAAAAGATTTAAATCACAGAAACTGTCTACAGAGTTATGCAACACGTATGAAAATTTTCACAGTTATTTCTTAGGCTTTCTCGACAAAAATGCAATTGCATCATTCATCGATTGCATTAAGTACACCCTGCAAAGTTTTTGATTTCTCCTGAAATATGATGAAAATTGAATTATCCCCTTCTTCCGCTTCATGGATCAATTGGTGTGCACAAAAACCTGTTGTGTCTCGTCCAAGTTGTGGTGTGCAGACTTACATTCACAGTACGGCGGCATGCGGTTGCCGGCCAGCTGTAGTTTCCCGCTCAGCTTCATTCGGCTCAGCAGTAGGCGGGCCCCCGCGTCCTCCGCGGGCCGCACGTCGCCTGCCCACCTCAAGTCGCCCTCGACGCCGCGCCGCAGTGTCACACTGCATACAGTGGACGGCACTGTGGCAAAAAGGTTCCGAAAATTCTGTTAATTTTTTGCCAGGATTCTCCGTAGCCCTCTTATCAATATTCTCCGTAGGCTCTTACAGTATTCTCCGTAGGGTCGTACAGTATTCTCTGTAAGTCCGCACAGTATTCTCCGTAGGACCTGGAAGACTGTATAGTCCTACGGAGATCACTGTAAGGTCCTACGGAGAATACTGTGCGGTCCTACGGAAAATACTGTAAGAGCCTACGGAGAATATTGATAAGGGGGCTACGGAGAATTCCGACATGCTGCTTACAGAATTTTCCGTAGGTTTTTGCCACAGTGGGGTCGGCGAGGTCATGCACGATCAGGGAGGTGCTTGGACCCAGCACTGCGAAGCATGGCATACAAGGGTTAAAAAATTGGGTTAAGAAGGGTGCAAATTAAGGGGGCACACCAGTGAAAATGCAGAGGTTTCGGAAAACGATCATTACGAGAAAAGTAACCTATGTATTCGATTGATATTTTATTCGTAGCTCAAAATTATGTCAAAGAAAAGAAAAATCAGTATAGGAGGGCGGGGTGGCTTAACTTAACATCCAACTATTTAACTCACACTGCTTTCAAAAAGTAACAGAAGGCAATGTTCACAAAAGGTTTAGGGTTGGACTGTTACAAAGACTTCGAAATACGAGTGAGAAACTAGAAAAAATAACTTTATCCAAGAAGTCAAAAGTTACGGGTCATAATTTAAACGCTCTTCAACGCTTATGACAACGTAATGATAACCATTCGACGTTAAGGATCCCCGAAAATTACGATCAGCTTGAAGGCAGTCGAGCACGGCAAAACCAACGTCCGGGTTTCCCAGGCGCACCCTGGAAAAACAGGGCATTTTTCCAGGGTGCGCCTGGGAAACCCGGACGATGGTTTTGCCGTGAGGCGCACTACTGCCTTCAAGCTGGTACCCGGCACACTCTTGAAAGCTTACGAAGCATTTGCTTCATAACTACGAAAAATGATCCAGGAAGAGGAAGAAGGGAATAACTTGACTTATCCCCAAATTGAGTTTTTATTTTATTAATGTGCCTTAGAATGGTTTACATCATTACACCAAATTATTTGACTGAATTCCAAGCAGTTTAGGAGAAAATCCACTTGGAAAAAGGGTATAACTCAACTTAACCCCTTTTACAGTCTAAATTTCATTGGAAAATGGAGATAACTCAACCTTAGTCTACATGAGTCCGTTTGACAAATTGGCAAAAGGATATAACTCAACTTGTGTTTTTATGAATCTAGTGTAAAAAGAATCAACTCAACTTAACCCCCCTAAATTTTAAATTTCAATTCGGAAAAAAGAGCTAAGTCCAAAAAGTACATCAGAGTAACATACACTTTATGCAGACTATTGTTCCACTTGACTTGTCTCCAAATTCCTCTTTGCTTAGGAAATATAAGGTGAGCTGACTCTGTTTTCCATTTCAACGGAAAGTGATAAGTCACAGAAATCCTCTACGGAGTGACCTTACACTTTTGATATTTTTTCCAAAATTTTACTAATGCTTTTTGAAATAATTAACATGTGCAACATTCATTTGTTTTGCTTTAGTTTTCCCTGCTAACAGTTTTTTGTTTCTCCTGAAAAATGGCCAAAATTGAGTTATCCCCTTCTTCCGCTTCCTGGATCAAATAATGACGGCCTTGTAGAATTGCTTCGTATTATGAACAAATGCTTCGTACTACGAAGAAATGCTTTGTATTACGAAGGATTTTGCTTCACAACACGAAGCATTTCTTCGCAGATTTTACAATGCCTTCATTTTCTTCGTAATAAAAGACTTCTCATCGCAGAGTTATTACTATGTACCCGACTACGCGACGCGACACGGCAGCCTGACATTCGTAGAGGGTGGCTTCTCTCGCTTACAGATGCGTCTTGCGCTCCGTTGAGCCCGCTCCCAGGCGGCTTGGTCCTCGTCCTGAGCGTCCCGCAGACGTCCGCTCGCCGCCACCATGCGCGACTTTTGACTTTGAGTAACACTTGTGCGCCGACCCCCTCAGAAGCCGCCCTTGAGAGGCTATGACACCACAGAGACCTCTGGTGGCCTCTGGTGATTCTCCAGCTGTGATTGAGGCTACCAAAGCACGTCCTAGAATGTGTGTACACATTTCACTCACCACTACATATCACAGACAACCGATTTGAATGCACTACATTCATTCACTCTCTCCGAACACAACTTCTTACGTTTGGCGCCAAAGCAAGCCGGTTATGCGCACCACCAGCTCCATTGGCAACCAATCAGCGTCGAGATCGGTTGACGACTCTCTCACAGTATCCAGGCTCATCCAGGCTCTCTAATGGTTCCTCATTCTAGTCCGAAAATGTGCAACTGTCGAAAGACACTGTGCAATACAAAGCAGTGCACGTGTAGGAAAACGAGTGCCTTTTGCTCAGAGGAATGTGGATGTCCTGAGGAACTTTGCCAAAACCGACCTGAGGTGAGTGAGAAAGCTGTTGTAAAATTAACTAACTAATCCATTCTTATGGGTTTTTATAAAATTTAACTTAACTTTGAACAGGCTGAAGATGCATCACAAAATGAAGAGGCTGCTGCAGCTGTGAAGGCTCTGGCTTGGGCGGATGTTTGGAAGTCACTCGATAATGAAAGAGAGCTTCTTCAATTGCTATCTCAATTCAGAGTCATACCGAAAAGACTTAAAGAGATCATGGAAAAGAGGAAAGAAGACTTTGATGAGATGACAGCGTTGCTCGCAGAAATGGTGAGTTTATGAAAATTTTTGCTGCAGTTCACCCTAGTTTGTAAACACTTACGCTTTTCCTCTTTATTATAGAATGGCTTAACAATGGCAAATGCAAATGCTGAAGAACTCACCGAAGACGAGTGGAAATCATTTGAGCAACAATTGGTGCAGTGCTCAAAATGTGAGCGCAGGTTTCATCCGGAGAGGATTGAGAAACATGAAGGCATTTGCCCGAAGAACGTATTTAAGGCCAGGGACAGGTGAAAAAATGATCTCAGAAACTGCTGGCCCAAAACTTCTTATTTTCTGTCAAAATCTTACTCTTGATGATAAACTATTTCACCCAAAATCCCATCCCATAATATCAAGCGGTTCCTGAGATACAGGCTTTTTTATAATTTTTTAAGTGTTTGTTAAAAAATTCCTGTGCGTTTCCCATTTTGGGTTATTGACCTGACCGACATATTTTTTTGTTCGTCTAAGTCCAAAGAACAAACGCAAGTGACAGATTTTAGTTTCCGGCACTGATAGCAAAATACCAACTTTTCAATTTTGACATTTTTCAAAAACCAAAGATTTTCCCTTTTTTTGTAAAAACCGATATCCAAAACCATACTTCTGGGTGGAATATACAAAAACTGTCACTTGCGTTTCCTCGCAATAACCTACTGAGTCAGTGGAAAAAATATCATTGACGACACTTCAAACTGTATGCGCACAGGACCATTCAAATGTTAAAAAAATGTCTTCGGAGAAAAGGGCGTTTAAAGTTTGGTGACAGGTTTTAATGGATTTTCAGCCAAAAAAATCTCCTTTGCGCATACTATTTTGTCGTAAAAGGTTGACCTGGATATTTTTCACTTCTTCGATTCATTTTTAAAAGATCCCAGCATGCACAACTGAAAATGTCCATTACATTATCATTGGCAAGCTTCTAAAGCATGCATTTCCCTTAAATTGATCAACAATGTACAAAATAGACAAGTTTTAGTGACTTCTTAGATGAAAAAAGCATGTGATTACTAATATAATGGAAATTTTGAACTAGGCATGCTGGAATCTTTTTAAAATGAATCGAAGAAGTGCAAAATGTGAAGATAAGCCTTTTACGTCAAAATAGTATGCGCAAGAGGATTGTTCAAGATACGGCTAAATAAAGCCAAAACAGTCCAAAAAAGACAATTCGACTGGGTTCAAGACCTAGCATATGCCTTCAAAAATCAAATCTTAGTCTCTTTGAAGTATGATTTCATATTCCTAACAAATTATGACAATGGGGTTCATTTTGAAAATGGCAAGATTTTCGCTAGAACCCTCCCCCCCCCTCCCCCCTTGATGGCAAAACGGACAATTTTACTAAAGTGTCGTAAATGCAGGAGTGTGCGAAAAGATGTATTTTAAGCACTTCCAGGTCCCGGATAGTCGAAGTCCCGACAGATCCTGAAAGAGGAAGGTCCAAAGGACCATTTTCCACCCAGAACTCATTTCATTCAATTTCACCAAACTTCTTCATTTTTTCACCTGTCCCTGGCCTTAAAAAAACAGTAACGTTTCTTCTGTAATGTTGTAATAATGTTTCTTGTGGATTTTGTGCATTTCTTAAAAGAAAATTGTTTTGGTTTTTTAGTATTTTTAAATACATTTGGCAAATTGCAGCATTTGTGTGGCTGGTAATGTGCACTGACCTTTTCAAAGAGGTGACCAAAAGTGTACAGTACGTTAAGGTTAAAGTCACTGTCTAAAGGAAAACTACACACGGCAAGTGATTCGTCACGCCACATATTATTCACCATACTGGTGAACTCGATTGTGGTGTTCTTGGCACTGCATGTTGGGGGTATCCATAGCTTCTTTTCTCGCATGATACCTGCTTTAGGCCAAACAATACCACTGCCAGACTAAAGAAATTGATAAAAATATATCAATCTTGAATGCTTCACTCAGTAAACGCAGAACTTACTGTTCATGTTTGACTCCACATGATGAAAGAGCAACCCCTTTTTCTTTACTCACTGCCAACAATCTGTTCCTCAAACTCGTCAAGAAGAAAGTCTTGCTTAGCATGGAGCCAATTTCTTCATCAACAGGTGGCGGCTCCTGAAGAGTGATTTTGCCATTTTGCCCTGATTCGCCTGATTCAAATGTACCCTCCTCGCACGCCACTGACACAACATTGAAATTGATAGACAGATTCGCTTTCAGGTTCTGATTCAAATGTACCCGCGTTACCAACATAAAAAAATTACATTACATTGCATTTTCTTGTGGTCGTGATATTTTAATGAACGAACTGATAGAAAAGAACAATTTATGTTCTCTTTCTTTGATTTCTTTGTCGATTTGTTTCATTTCCTCACCCGAGTCGTTCTCGTCGCCTTAATAGGTCCTACTGGGGTAAAGTCGTAGAATTGCTCCTCTCGTTCCAACACTAACTCGATCTTTACATAATGTTCAAAATTTGGGTAAACAGGGCAGACATCCACCACTTTTGATAGCCATTATACAATTGTAAAGAACGAGTCATAACCATTTAATAAAATTAAATATTACATAAGATTAATTTAAGCTTTTCTTTCTTTACGTCTCGTTTTGGCGAGCGAGAAACAAGTTGGGCGGACACTAAAATTCAAACTCGCATTACAGCACCACCAAAACATGGGCAAACGGCTACCAGAGGTCTCTGTGTCTCTGTGGTGACATAGCCTCTGAAGGGGGGCTTCTGAGGGGGTGGGCGCACAAGTGTTACTCAAAGTCAAAAGTCGCCCACCAAGCGACCCTTCCACTGTTCCAGCTCCTGGTGGAAGTCGGCCACCTCCGCGGAGACGGCCTCGGCGTCCACCGCGTGTGCGAACCCGTCCAAGATGCTCGCGTGTCCCTCCAGCATTTCCACTGTCGACTCGACCTCGCTGGCCCGCCACTTTTTGAAGGTGGTCACCGGGTGCTCCTGTTCCACGCAGTCGTCGCTCGGATTCTTGCTACACCTCCGGCACCACAAGCGGGGGTGGGTCGACTCCGCGGGCCTGCGGGAAAAGCAAGAAGAAACAACTCAAGCCCCATTTGTACACCGAAATTTGACTTCAATTCATCGAAATTCGACTGAAATTCATCGAAATTTGACTGAAATTCATCGAACTTAGTACACCGAAATTCACAGCGATTTCCCCTTGAGGAAAGGCACAAACAATGAACAGTCGTTTGGGCGCGACGCCACTGTAAAACAACTCCGTACTTTCGAACGGAAAATGTACCGAAGAAAGTGGTACGGAAGTACGGAACGTCGGTATTGTCCCATAAAAACTCATGAAGTAGGGTACGAAGAAGTAGTACAGAAGATCCGTAGGGAGGACAGGTACGGACGGTCCCCGCAATTTATACACCAGACATTTGCGCCGTAAGAAAAACCTTAAGGACGATCGTTACGTGATTGCCCGCCGAAAAAGGAGCTTAAACCCGGCTTCAGTATGAAAAATTATTATTATATAAGGTTAAGCTCGGAAAGTTTTGACTTACGCGTTGCAAGCTTCAAGAAGACTGTAGTTGTCGGCCAATTTATCTGGCAATGACTTGAAGATCTAAAAGAAACAAACAAGTAAGAATGAGGCAAGCGGGAGGCAGGAGCTCGCAGAAACAGAGTGAAATTACACGCTGAGACCGGTTTCCCAATGGCTGCTAGGATTGCGTAATTTAGGGCCTCATGGTAAAATCCTCGGGGGATATGAATGTTAAGTACACGGAGGTCCAAAGAGTACTTTTACTGTTCAAAACCTTTGACGCGGAAAAACGAAAAACAGAGTCATCTCAACCTCTCTCTCCGAAACGAAGAGGACTTGGGAGATAACTTCGTTTCCTGCATCAGCTTGTGCAAGCGTAAGCTGTGTGCAACATTCTTCTTAAATTTGAGACAATACTGCCATATTGTACTTCGATATTTATAACAGAGTACCTATTAGATTCATCTCGCAGGGCCGGAAGTGACGAACACGAAGAACATAGACCGGAAACAGTCCAAGAAATCAGCCTTTTACGGGAGTTTTGACAGGTTCAAATCAAATTCTTTTACAAAAGTAACCTTTCTTGATTTATTGGATTGAGAATAAACACTGATCATCTATAAATAAGCATCATGATGCAGTTGGCAGCTGTTTCCGGCTTATGTTCTTCTTCTTGATCTTCACTTCGGGCCCTGCTCGAAGTGTCTAAGCACAAGTTTGTGCACAATTTGCACCAGCAAAAACGCGACACGAGTTATAAGCACTTAGAACGCGCAACACTCACCTTGTTGTCCAGAGGGCACTTCTTGCTCTCCAGGCGGCGCAGGCACTTTAAGCAGAAAGAGTGACCGCAGGGAAGCACCTTCGGCCTGCGGTCCCTCGGGTCGAACCGCTGCGTACAGATGTGGCACTCCATGGCCAAGAAGGAAGACCGCAATTTTGATGGTTCGGAAATTGCGAGGAGAAAGTCCGGTAATCTTTAACAAAGGATTTGCACACGTATACACTTAGCTGCTGTGAAACATCCGGTTCGCTAACGAGTTCAGTCTATGAATCTCTCTCACATCTCAGCCCAAGAACTTGAGTTTCTCTTTAGGAAATAGAAGCAAGTTCTGCACAATCGTACAATGATCTCAAAACGAGTCCACGCGAGTGTCATGCCCGATTCAAACGGAAGCGTTCTAAGGAGCAGCGTAGTTTGAAAATAAGGCAATCACGTTGCTCAATTTTGCACCAAGAGCCCCCTCCTCCCCGCCCTGAATCGCAGCGTAACAGAGCCACCCCTCTGCAATCGTACCAACGTTACACAGTGTTTCTGGATTGAACGTGAATGAGCGCGTGAATGTTTACCACCACAACAAGCACCACACGTCCCACCACAACGGTTAGGGAGCGCGTGAAGCCACGCTCGAGCGAGCTGCATAGAATTGTAAAATCAAGGCCGTTGTTGGCAAACCGATTTGCACAGATTTCAAAAGCGCATCTGCTCTTAAAATTCAAGGCGCATTAGACCTAGTACCCTGTCCGATACTTCCAGCAACCTAACTCGACAGCGAAAACGTTTTCAACATCATAGCGTCGACGAGGTTTTTCCTACATTTATTGATTATCCGTGTTATGCGGCCTTCTCACATCACTTCTGTTTAAGGTAAGGTGGGAGTAACAGGAACGGCAATGGGGTACTCCAATGAATCCTGAAACCCGTGGGAGAAGAACAAAACTGAGCCCTAAAAACCATTCCACCATATAAGGTCCAGAGAAATAATGTCCATGATCCGAAATGTCCACGACCAAAAAATGTCCATGGGGTTTAAATGTCCATGTATAAAAAGGTCCTCCAAATTAAGGTCCAGAAACCATTTCGTCCATGAGTCAGAATGTCCAAATTTATTCAACCATCCCCGCAGCACCGCGTCGCAGCACCGGGAACCAGCACTCCGCAGCAACAACACCACGCTACACACAGTGAAAACTCTACGAAGAATCGCTTCGTAATACGAAGAAAATGAAGGCATTGTAAAATCTACGAAGAAATGCTTCGTATTATGAAGCAAAATCCTTCGTAATACGAAGCATTTCTTCATAATACGAAGCAATTCTACAACGCCTTCATTTGCTTTGTAGTTATGAAGCAAATGATTCGTAGGCTTTTAAGAGTGTAGCTGTTATGAAAATATCTTAGGTCAGATGATCCTATTGTCGCTCTCCCTAAGACGTTTCTCATGCAAACTAACTGGGGCTTTCCTTTGTGAGATTGAATGATTTCTGCCATGACTGAAAATTTTTACTATGAGACGGGTAACAATGGAACTCCTACCTCCCGAACATCCCTCGCGCGGGAAGTATCTCCAAAAATGGCGATTCCCTGACCATTGGAATGTTCCTGCCAGAACGGAGTATTTCCTGGCCAATATTTCAAGGACATTATGAAACATGGTCATTTTTGTGCGTGGACATTTACCCCTTGGACTTAACATTCATGGACATTAAAACCTGGACATTATGCACATGGACATAAATTCATGGACATTTAGACATTGGACATTAAGTTCATGGACATTATGTCTGGTAACCCTAAAAACAGCTTCTGCGCATGCGCAGACGTTCCCCCACCACCCGGTACGCATGCGCAGAAACTTTTTAAGGGTTTACTTTCGTTCTTCATCTTTCGTTTCAAGATTCATTGTAGTGCCCTATTAGCTTAAGGGGGCTCATACATGTTAAAAGCACTTTTTTCAAAAAAAATTTTGATGTAGACGGATTAAGATTTTACAATTTCTGTGTTAAAATCCTTTTAGATAATTGAGTAAGCTTCATTTTGGCTTAAGGGAAAGTGACTTTGGACATTTTTTGGAGATTTAGTCGAAACGTTTAAAATTTTGCTTCTCGTAAGATTTTGTTCGCATACTTGCTCAGATCTGTGGGGAAAAAATCAGGGAGACTCATCCCCAGTAGTGTCATAGAATTGACTACAATGGGCTTTATATCTGCAATAGTTTTCAAGAAAAAAAATAAAAACAATTTTTTTAACAATTTTTTAAACAAATTTTTCAACAAAAAATTGTTTTTATTTTTTTTCTTGAAAACTATTGCAGATATAAAGCCCATTGTAGTCAATTCTATGACACTACTGGGGATGAGTCTCCCTGATTTTTTCCCCACAGATCTGAGCAAGTATGCGAACAAAATCTTACGAGAAGCAAAATTTTAAACGTTTCGACTAAATCTCCAAAAAATGTCCAAAGTCACTTTCCCTTAAGCCAAAATGAAGCTTACTCAATTATCTAAAAGGATTTTAACACAGAAATTGTAAAATCTTAATTCGTCTACATCAAAATTTTTTTTGAAAGAAGTGCTTTTAACATGTATGAGCCCCCTTAACGCACCCTAAATTACGTGACTAATGTTGGCCACCCACAAAAATCTCCAGCCACACTTTTCTGCAGCTTTCTCCCTATCGCAGTTCAAATTCTGAAATTTGGCACGGTGGTAGGCCTTTTGTGGGTGGCCAACATTAGTCTACTCCCTAAATTTTATACCTGTTTGATCTGTCATTAGCGTTTAACCAACAGAGGAAGAGTCTGTAACCTCTGCACTGATAGCGCGAAGCCCCCCTCCCCATTCCCACTCCTCCTCCCCATTCCCACTCCCCCTACGTAACGCAACGTAACAAGGTAAGTACGCCTGATAGTGGCTTGTCTTAACAGGCTTCGCCATGCTGTGACAGTTTCGTCAATCCATTCACCTTTTGCTCTGGAGTGTACAACTAGATGAGCGAGCTGTTGACTAAAACTCATATTTTCTAACGCTGTCTTGCTGCTCATCTACTTATAAGAGTAGAATTCTTGCACGAGTAAACATCTGACGTTCTTTGTCACGTTCGTATATCTTCAGTTCAAGGGGTCCTGTTCAAAAGACCTTATCTGGGCGCTTGTATTCAAAGAATTTTATCAGCAACGCAAGCGAATTTCACTAAGTTTGCTCATTTTAGACACCTTCAAATCAAAATAATTCCTGATTGAAGTCACTCAAACAGGAAGATGAAAGATCAAAGAAACCATTAGTGCGTGTAGAAATGTGTTCCGCTTACCCTCTTATCCGTCCCAAATGGTCAACCTTTGTGAGATTCGCTTGCGTTGTAGATAAGATTCTTTGCATAGGACACTCAGAAAGATCTATTAAATAGGTTCCCTCGAATTCATCATACATTTCTTTAGAGGTCTAGGCCATTAGATGTAACTGCAGTCCTGCTGGTAGTCATCTTTATACAAAAGGGTACTTCGGGGGAAACCTACACTCTCATCCTTCAATTGGCATTTTATTAATATTCATTGACGATTGTGCACATTAATAGGATTTCGTTAAGAAGCTGAACAGATTTGTCAAGACGAAATTGATTATTTTGTTAGTGAAACAAATAAAAATGTTAATGTGCGTATTAATGTACACAATCGTCTATACGTTATTAAAGAAAAACTCAGTACGAGTCTGAGAGTGTAGACCGGATGTGAGCGACAGAACTGGAGAAGCAAACGAGCGTAGCGCAGCTGTGCTGAGCTGTGGTGGGGGTGAAAATCGGGGGAGTAAGGATGAAGGCGGCGCGCACACGTTTATCGGGTGATACCCGCATGCCTGGCTCCACAACGTCCACGAGACGCTCTTTTCGTTTCTCCCGCCCTGTCGCTGACTTCCGGTCTAAATTTCCTCCGAAGTCCCCTATTTTGCCTTTGCATCCCCCTCCTTTCAAAGGTTGACTTGGTCGGGGGGAACTCCATTGATTGAGACAGCCGTCCGTCAACAAACTCCAGGAGATCTTTTGCCTCAAGAGAGGATCTTAATTTGGAACGACAATAGGGTACAGGGCTGCGTTGCCAAAGGATCAGTCGTTAATTCCAGACCTCTCAATCACGAAGTTTCTTTGTTTATTAACGAAGGTTCCCTGCAAACTTACGACGGATCTTCGTATAGTTATGGAGGTGCTTCGTAAATTTTCCATTGTGCTTGTAGAATCGCCAGAGGTCCTTCAAAAAATTTACGAGGTTTTTGTAAATATACGAAGATTATCGTAAACTAACGAAGGAACTCACTCTACAAAAGATGTCCTGTCAACGCCGTTAATTTATTACCAATGTTTGCTGTTATGCAATTCACGGCGTTTGCTGTGAACTAGTTCACGGCGTTTACTGTGATCTCGGTTACAGTGTTCACTGTGATCTGGCCACAGTAAACGCCGTGAATATTGGAGCCTGATTTGCAGTACTTCGGTGCTCAGCGGCGTCAAACTCACAGTGTTTACTGGGGACCAGATCACAGTGAACACTGTAACCGAGATCACAGTGAACGCCGTGAACTAGTTCACAGCAAACGCTGTGAATTGACCTACAGTGAAAACTGGTAATAAATTAACGGCATTTACAGGACATTTTTGGTAGAGTGCTGTTGGCAATTCTTTTGTTGAAGGATCCGTCGTTTATTCCGAACATTAATTTTTACAGTGATCATTACGGTTGCTTGAATCGATTAGTCCAGGTATTTGACGAAATTTACTTTATGATGCATGGTTTAAAAACTTAAGTCAAAATGGAGACTTTTGAAACAATTTAGTACAGTATTCGTGATTAGAAAGTGAAATAATTAAAAGTGTAGTTAGAAGGTGACTGGATGTAGGCTTTTCAAGTTATTGCCTGAGGATTCTTAGCTTTTTTTTTTATTTTTTCAGAAAATCTGACCATTTTACTACTTTGTGCACGCACAGTAATTGAATTGCAGCCAATTTTATTTGGTTCCCAAAGCTTCCTCGTCTGCCAAAGCTTTTAAGCCGTAGGCATTACAAATTAAGTAACGCCAATTACTAAAAGTTCTTGATTTCTAAATGGAAAAGGCTCTGCAGCCCCTGTTATGGTCTTATGTTCTGATAACAATCAGATTATGCAACATTGAGACGCAATTCTGCAGTTATATTGAAAGCAATTGGTTTGTTTGATATTTTTGTGAATTACGAAAATAAAGTATAGACCATGGGGCCTGGCCTAGGGGGTGCCGGCGGGAGACTGCTTTTCAGCCCTAGCTCTTAAGCCGTTGAAGTTAGAAGGGTATACTAAGCGAGCTGATTGTAGCTTAGACTGCCTACAATCGCCCCGCTTACTCTGCCTGATCCATTCCTCCTTACCATTCTGCTCCGTTCTATTCTGTTCGAGCATATTCTCGTACGTTTGGCGCATTGTAAGTCGGTCCTGCTAGTTAAAATCGACGTAATCCCGTGATTATCTTTTTCGATCAGGTCTCGTTCCTGTCCTGCCGCATCGACGCCGCTGCTGCACCACTCAGCAGAAGGCCTGCTCAGCTTTCGCCATGGATATGGATCAATCGGTGAGATGTTTTCTCTATGCCTCTATGTTACTGAATTCCACTAAAGTTGAAGTTGCCTGCACTCTCATTCCAGGAGGGTGACATAACGGTGGAGCGAGCATTGCTCGCTTCATCACGTCACGCTCCTGGAATAAGTTTGCTCGTCAAATACACACTTTTCCATGCTTGGCGCCGTACAACTCAATAAACCCTTTCAGTCGTCGCCGAGTAAAGAACAAAAGTAACAAAAAATCCAGGAACCAGCAGCGCGCCATCTAGCGGCCGGTACTGCACTCTCAGATTTGCATTGACTTTTTTCTCTCCATTATTGACATTTTGTCCTTTGCTTACATAGTTTTTCAAGCATCAATATGCTGTGTTTCCTTTGTAACCATGTACAATATTGATCACCATAAAGACTAAATTGTCATCAATTGTTGACTATTTTTAAGTCAATTGCGTATTGTGTGTTACGGTATGAAAGCAGTGTTAGTTAAATGGTGTGTTAGGGATCCCTGCTTTACCTTAATTTACTGGGTTTTCTTCTAAAATGTGCTTTTATAGCGTACTGGCTGGCTCCATTCCAGCCCACATTGAAAACTATGGGGATACATGACAAGACAGGAAGTCTTGCTAAGTTTCGGTTGAACCAGAAAGTCTCGTCAAAATTTGGTCAGACTATATTTGACCTCAAAATAGTTAGACGTTTTTGTCGCAGGCTCGCGTGGATCTTATTGACTGCGTTCAAAATTCAGACCACATTGTGTTCTGATAAAAGTTTGTGATCCTTTCGTCGTCAGACATTTTGGGCTGACCAAATTTTGGCGAGACTTTCAGGTCTGACGAAATATTGGCAAGACTTTCTGTCGCCCCTTCGGAAATGCTAGCAGTCTGACTTGTAGTGCTCTGAGCACTCAATGTTTATGTACGAATTTTGTACGAGACGTCACAGTTTTTCGTGCATAGATGAATTTTTCGTAGACATTCGTACGCACTTTAAATGTTGTACAGTGAAGATTCTCCATAATGGTGGTGCAGCTGACTTTATAACATACCATTGAGAATAAACTGTACCTAATAGATAATTCGAGGGGCAAACAACTTGAATTTTGGTGTACATTTTCCTTGATATAACGTGAAATAACGTCGAAATAACGGTGAAGTAACGCGAAATAACGTGAAATAACGCGAAAAAACGTTGAAATACCCTTGAAATAACGTTGAAATAACAATGAAATAACGTAAAACAACGTGAATTTGATATAGCGGTCTACAAATTTTTTTCGAAGGTGTTTGTCCCTCGAGATATTTTGACGAATTTCGCTGGTATTATGGAGAAAATGTCCACGACGATAATATGTTGGTGCAGCCTTTCACCGTAAGACATTTTCAGTGCGTGATTTTGCACCAAGACAGGGGAACATGTACAATTTTGTTGGACGAAAATCGTTCGGAAAGTTCATTAGCACCAAAAACTGGAGTCTCGTACGAAAATGCTCATAACGTGAAGTGTGTGTCGGCAACCTGAAGTTCGGTGTGCCCGCAGCCGCTGCTGACGCTGCCCGACGAGGTGGTGCTGGCGGTGCTGGCCTGCCTGCCGCCGGGCGACGTCTTGAGCTGCAGCGTGCTGTGCCGCCGCCTCCGCGGCCTCTGCAGGGACCCGGAGCTGTGGCGCCGCCTTGCAGTGCAACCGAGTGCGGACCGGTGGTGGCGCGCCGCCCTCCGGTTCGCGCCCTGCCTCCGCGAGCTGGACCTGACTGCGCCGTACCCGACCACCGAGGCCCTGCAGGCCGTGTCTACCGCCATGTCTAGCTCTGCGTGCGTCGTCGCCAAGCTCACGTTGGATGTGAGGGAAGACCTCAGTGGGGCCCTGACAGCGGCTCTAGTGCAGAAGACCGCTGCTCTCGGCGGCCTAAATACGGTCCACCTATTGATTTGGGAGAGTTACGAGAACAATGACATTTGGGATGTCAGCATGCTGTTCACGGCGGTGCACGAAGTGCCAGAGCTACGTGAACTGATAATCGAAAACACCATCGTGGCAAGCGATGATTGGCTGGAATGTTCCGCCTTTGAGGGGAGCGCGTCCCTCAGGAAGCTCACCTACTCCTCATTGGAGGACAGCGACAGCCCCTTCCTATTGGAACGGCTGCTCAAGAGGCACGCCTCGTCTCTGGAACACGTGCGTCTCTACATTGGGTTCGCGCCGGTTCCCGTGTCCCTCTTGGCTGCCATACCCGGGCTGCGCTCTCTGACCTGCGCTCTCAGCCAGTACGATGACCTGTCCGAGCTGAAGACCTCGCGAGGCCTCAACACTCTCGTTCTGCTCGGCCGCAACGGGCCTTTACCGTTTCCCGCGGGGGCCCTGGCCTTCCTCCGCGCGGCGCCGCAGCTGCGCTCCGTGGCGCTTCCCAGCTCGCGGCCGAGCCCCGCCGCCCCGCTGGGCGCGCTGGCCGAGTCGCCTTCTGCCAGCGTCCTGGAGACCCTCGACCTGCGGGGCTACGAAGCGGACCTGAGCGAGGTGGCCGCGGCGCTGAGTCGGTTCCCGGCCCTGCGGACCCTCGCCCTGGACGTCCACAAGTACCAGACCGACAACTTCCTGCCGGCGGTGAGCCCCGCCACCGCCCCTCGCCTCACCACGCTGGAGATGCGCGTGCCTCTGGGCGCGTGCCCCCACGCCTGGCTCCACGACTTTGCCCAGGACGCCCTGGAGAGGAACCCCCGCCTCCACCTCCGCACGTGGTTCGGCACCTGCCCGGACAAGGCGAAGCAGTGTGGCTGGTGCCGCTTGGGCTGCCACTCCAGACTGGGCTCTATCGAGAGGACGGCCTTCGCAGCGCACGCCAAGACGACCGGTTGCCCTGGAGACTGCTTCAGGTGGTGCTGAGCTGTTGCACTGCATTTTCCTTTGGCCAACGCACGGCTTGTAATCACCTGTGTAGTAATAGTTAATGTAGATTTCCGTTGTCTTTATGTGATGTGCTTTCTAGAACTTTAATCATGTACGTATTCTTAGCTGTTTTAACTTCAGATTGGTTTTGTCATTGTATTGTTTAAGCAGGTTGTCCAAATGCCGCCTCGTATTATTTACACGCTGTTTTAAATTGTGCTTGTTACAAAATTTAGACCGGAATGAGATTCAAATTATATATGTTACTGTCAAAATGAATGATGTTTGGTATCCTTTCTGACACCCATTGAGAAAATTCCCACAGTTCTGAAGAAGAAAAGATGATACACAATGTGCTCAACAAGAGCATAAAGGGATCCCTGCGTAACATAGAGGTAGAAAGCTTTGCATAAGTACTTTCACACGCATTCCAGGAATGTGACGTCACGTTCAAACGAATGTGACTACATGCTCGAAGGAGAGTGACATTTTGTCACATCTCGTTTTAACGTGATCTTACGTGACACGTGGGGCACTCAAACCAGAAGGGCCAAATCGACTGCCGAACAGTCTTCCGCCTTAATCCACTTCATTTTAGGGTTCCGAGCTAAAATAGATGCCAGTTACCCCTTACACGTAGGCACCCAGATTGCAAATTTTGAGTTTTTGAAATCAGCCGTTTCATATTTTTATCAATTTGACCATTTCTGACAACTTGTTTCATGGAATATGCCCGTAAAATGAATATTAAGGCCGCTTTACTGCTAGTCTATCAGTTAGCAGTGCGCCTAACTTACCCTGACGTGCGGGACCACTTCCGGTGACCTCAAAAATCCCAAAAAATTCTCAGAGTCTTAGAATCCGAAAAGGAACCGAATTCCATATCCGCGCATCAACATTTCGAACCTTCGGAAAATTTGAGCCGGTCTAGAGGAGGGTGGTACCCACACCTTACTCAGCACAGCCTCGCCACCGCCGAGCTCAGGTGCACGACGCCCTTTTGTTTTTCCCGATACCACTGGTCTTCCGGCATGGATCATCTCCGAGGTACCTTACTTTGAGCGCATGACACCATGCGCAGTGCTGTGTCTGCAGCTACGGCGGATGTCCAACGTGTTTTGCGTCAAGGACCCTGCCTGGATCCTGCAAGTGCTGCAGGGCGCCGCCGCGACACTCAAAGAGCTGCAGACGGTGCACCCGCTGTCGGAGCACCTCACCACGGTGCGCTCCATGCCGCGGCTCCGGCGGCTCGACCTGGCGCAGCCCTGCCGCCTCAAGTGGCTGCGGGTCGGCGGGCTGCCCTTCACCACCACGCAGTCCCTGCTGCGGGCGTCGCACAGTGGGCCAGAAGACCGGTGCAGGCGGCCAAAACTCTTGACGCGTTTTTAACTCCAGTGTCGCTAAATGGGACTCGAACAAACGTGTGACCCCACCAATGGATTCCTCGTCCAGAGAGCAACCCGTTTGTGGGCTCAGACGGTCGGTTCGAGTCCTGCTTAGCTACTCTGGAGCTCAAAACGCGTCTAGAGTTTTGGCCGCCTGCACCGGTCTTCTGGCCCACTGTACGTCGCTGGAGGTGCTTCGGCTGTAGTGTGCATTCGCTCAAACCAGAGCCAGTGGCGACCAAAGGAAAAGTTAAACAGCCGAACCCCACCGGGGGCCTCATTGTCGGAGTGCTGTTCCGGTGCGTTAGTAGGGTTCGACCCTTTGTTTCGCTCGTTGTTCCGAGGCTGTTTGCCACGCTCACGATGGCACCAAGGAAAGGCCTGCATAGCAAAGGTTCGCCGCTGGCTCAGGTTTGAGCGAATGCACAGTGGGGTCATTCCATGCCAACTCGACAGGGCTCGGACCGACACCTTGTCGGAGGCCATCGCCATAGTGGTCGATTGTTGGCCTTATGGTACCATTTGAAGACCCCAACTCAGTTTTTCGAAATCTGCAACGGGCTCCGAACTACGGCCTGATTTAGTTTTTCACATACATGACGACATGGCAGGGTTGCCAGCGACTCACTATTGTCACTATTTATCACTATTTCTAAAGTGCCATCACTATTTCCACTATTCTGGAAATTTTGTCACTTTTGTCACTTTTTTGGAGCTCGCGGAGGGTATCATGTCCATTTTACTTCGTTAAAAGCGTAAATTTGCCTTTGGTTCAAAACACTGTTCAAATCACCCGCCGCCGGTTTTGTGAAGTCTATCGAGGTATCGAACCGCGCGGCAGCGCTGTGTCGGAAGGCGGTGACTGTTGACGAGGGGTCCTATGCAAATGATCTTATCTGGGCGTTCGCCCCAAGAGAATCTTATCCTTAAGGCAGGTGCATTTCACTCAGTTCGATCGTTCTGGACGGACACGAGAGTAAGCGGAATACATTTCTACTTGCACTTTTAGTTGTTTAGATCTTTCTTCTTAGGGTTTAAGTGAATTCTATCACAAATCATATTGATTTGTAGCCAAATCAAATGACAAATGAGTAAAATTTGTCTGCGTTTAAGATAATATTCTCTTGGGGGGAACGCCCAGATAAGATCTTTTGAATATGACCGCGCGTTGTGGTTGTGTCACGTCGCGCGGTCAGGCGAGTGAATCAGGAGGCGGCCGGCTTCTATTGCGGGCGAGATAGACCAGTCTATTTTATCAGATTTATTTGTATTTTTTGAGAATTTGGTTCAGTTTTATATTTTAAGTAGAGATGTATCCTAACACCGTTTTGTTTTTAAAGCTTTTGCTTTCATGCTTTTTCGAGTTTAAAAGTTCCCGTTAACTTTACAGAACCATTCCATTGCCTCTGTTTCACGCGCCTTTTTCCGGTTTTATGGTCCTTACACCCACATACCATGTATTTGAGCTCCAATTAAGTGCCAAAAGCGATAATTTTCTACAGATCATAGCAAAATTTAGTCTAAAAAGGTAACTTTATTGTCACTATTTAGCAAAAAGACGTCACTTTTTTGTCACTATTTTAAAAGGTGCTAAGTCACTTTTCTACTATTTTCAACAGTCCTGGGCGCTGGCAACCCTGCGACATGGGTGCACTAAAATGCAATTATCTCGGCAACCGTTCGTCGTATCTCAAATCCGAGACCACCGTTGGAAAGAGACAAAACTACACAAAAAGATAATTTTTGGGGTTTTCTTTGAAAAAAATTATTGAAACTTCAAAAACGGTGTAACTTTTAAAGTGTGATATCTCAAAAACCCATATTTTAAAACCTCTCAAAAAATTCCAAAATCTTCCTTTATTTATCATCTAAAAGAAAAGCTCAACCACCCAAAGTATTATTCTTCGTTTAGGAGAACGAGCGATTCGCGTGGGCCTCTGCAAACCACACTGTTAAAAAATTTTGCTGAAAATTCAGACTTTTTTGACTGAAGTAAATATGCAGAACATCCTACTGAAAATTCAGACTAAATCCTGGTCTGAAATTTTCAGACTTACACAAGTCTTAACCTTTCAGACAGGTCGTAGTTTGAAAAATTCAGACAAAATTGTCTCAATTACTAGATTGTTTTGTCTGAAAGTGGCAGCAGGAAATTTTCCCGTAACTCGGTGAAATGATAATGTTCGCATCCGAACCTCAAAGGAGTGACGTACTACAAGGAACCGTCTAGGTGAACAATTGAGTGTAGGGCAATGTCCCCGATGTGGGACTCTTCCCTGCACTCATCTGGAGCTGGCATGACGCACCCTAGGGAACGACGGCACGGAGCCAACCGCGAGAGGTAACTTCAAATGTCAATTGTTAAACTCGCGCGTTTGCTACAGATATAAATTTGGTATGGGAGCGTGTGTTTCGTCATAGCCAATAGAGTGATGGCCATTTCGGGTTAAAAATATTAAAAATTTAACAGAATAAAACGTTTTTAACAACAGCAGGCTCTTTACCGACACTGGCGCCACCTAGCGGAGAGAAAAATGCTTTCGTTTTGTCTGAAGTCCCCGAAACGGAGTCGGATTAAATTGAATGTAAGACTGATTGTGAGTTAACCCAATGTTAAGTTGGAAGAAAGTTGTCCAATTTTCTCTTATGTTTGAACATATTTCAGAAAGTAGTCTGAATCCGAAATTCAGACTCTTGAGGTCTGGGAAGTCTGACGCAAGTTCATATGAATTTTGAGAATGAGTACAAATATTAAGACACTTCGAGTCTGAACCAAGCTTTCAGACAAAGCGTTTAAGAACTAAGACAAAAACTCTGATTTTTCAGAATTTAGTCTGATTTACAGATTCAGACCGCTAAGTCTGACAAAATTGGTCTGAATTTTCAGAATTTTTTTAACAGTGCACTTTTTCCCTATTTTCCCCCTTGAGTGGTGCGCCGGCGTGGCTATAGGGCCACCCCTCACACCCTGGCACGGCAGAGGTGCTGCCCTTCGTCGTGGAATGCCGAACCACAAACCGGGTACTTTCAATCATGGTAAAGCGCTTGCCAGGTAGGCAGTGGGAGCCACGCAGCGCAGCCCGACGAAAAGATTTCTCGCCGGTTTCGGGTACAGCCTGAGCAAGTCTGGGCACAGCACGGGCAGGTACGGGCGCATCATCCAAAGGCGGGTCGGGACTCGAACCCGCATGCGGGCAAATGCCGGCAAGTACGGGCAGGCACGGGCACAAACGGGCAGATGCGGCTACATCCGGAGCGCCTTGATGTTTGTGCCCGAGAACCATTCGCGGACGAGCTCGGAAAAACTAAACACGAGTAATCGAAGCCTGAAGCAGTGCTGTACGCCTGGAAGCTAACCCAAACTACCTCCATGCTCACCCGGCCGGCACAAGATGGTAAGGGAATGTGAGCGATTTGTAACAGGGGCGATTCGTAACAAATGCGTAATTTAAGTGAAGGGCGCAGAGGAAAATTTGAGTATGGCCCCTCTTTCACTTCAAGAAGAGGGTCCTTGAACAATCGAAGCGGATGTGATCGGTGCTCAGATATAGTTTTGGAGGGCGTCTGAAATGTAGGGTACACCGAAAACAGGCAAATCTTTTATTTTGAGTTCTGGGAAGTTTCTGTCTGAGGCTCCCCAGGTATGAATCACCATCGAAGTACCGTTGGGGCCTTGAAGCGTGACCCCTTTACAATGTAACCACGTGGCATGAGTTGCTTTGACTTTGTCCAGTGATAGTTAGGGACGTATTTCTTGCGTAACAGGCATTTGGGATGATTCGTAACAGACCCGTATAAAAACAAGAATTTAAGTACACTGTTAAGGGAAGTCGTCATTTTACAACAGTAAACCCAACAATTAGTGTTGTAATTTTACAAATAATAATTCGTAAAATAACTACAAGATTCATGAAACGAACAATCGTCATATTTTCGACAAACTTTCCTCATAAATTTAGGAATAAATTCGTAATTTTACGATGAAACCTTAATGTTACTGACGAAAGATCGTAGTTTTACTGATAAAATCGTTATCTTACGACTATTCTCGTTTTATCACGCGTAAACTTGTTTTTTTACAAATCAAGCTTTATTTTTAAGAAT